GTATTCGATTGGCAGCTCGCTATTTCCCTCATTTGTGTTATCGAATATCGATTTATCGATTTGCCAATGTGAATGTAACAAGAGAAAGCAAAAATGAAAAGGCAAATAACTGCATATTTTTGAGATTGTTAAGCACAAATAATTAGGGTGGCCATATATTTATGTGAGGCAAACGGAGTTATTCAATACAAACTAGTTCAATGTTTTGCGCGTACGTGCGTGTGTTCACTGTACAGCATGCACACACACACACACACACACATACTCGCACGCACACACACACACACGCACGGCTAAACATATAGTGAATGTAGTTGTAAGGGGAAGCCCCGACAGGAGCCAAACAAATCAGAACTAAAGTTATAATGGATGTATATACATATACATACACATATATACATACATATGTTATGTATCAATTCTATGTATATTATATTTATGATTATTGACATTGCCATTATACAGTTATTGTTACAATATATATGAATGATATCGATACGGTTTATATGTATTACAAATACCTCTATTATACGAGTACATACATACATATATACTCATATATATATATACATACAAGATGTTATTGTTTCTCGGCTATTGTAGAGGCTTGCGTTGAACTTGATTCGGTATTTCTTGTTATTTAACAATTTAAATCTATGCAAACACAAACAAAAATAATAAATAACAAAATATAAAATAAAATACCAAAAAAAAAAAAAAAAACGAGAGCTGGAAGGAAGCCATAAAATTTATCATATTTACTAATCGCAAGCAAAACTATTCAAATTCAAACATTTATATAACAAAGCAAACAAAACAAAACAAAAAATACCAAACAAAATCAAATACTTTATGCATAACAAAAAAAAAAACTATAAAAAAAAAGGAAAATTACTAACATTTATATACAATGCATACATTTTTCCACTTTATATACTAAAAGCAAGAAAGCAAACAAGATTTTTTAAACTATATACGATTTATAAACATACCTAATATTTAATTCATTTATATTTTTATTTCAACTTAAAATAAAAAAAAACTTTATATAAAAAAAGAAATACTGTACATACACACACACACAGAGGCACACACAGTTATACACAGAGACTCTAATGGTAACATGAACTAAGTATATATGGAACTATCCCCAAGAATGGTACAGCTAACCAACCAAATACTAGCAAGCGATAAACAAATACTAAACAAATATCAAAGATATCAAACCGAACAAATACTACAAGATTATATACATATATGTATATATATATATATATATGTGTGTATATATATATGATGAAAATCTATTACACTTAAGCTTAAGTTTAAGACGCGTTACGTATGTTACATATGTATATTCCAATAGGAAAAGTTGTTTGGCCCCAAAAAAAAAAAAAAAATACCCAGCATCTAAAGCACTTGTATTTCGACTTATATTATATATGCCATTATTATCATGATTATTATTCCTATGTATTCTTATAAAGCTAAATCAAAAAAATACTTAAAAGCAAAAAATTAAAAAATGAAAACTAAATCGAAAAAATTTACAAATCCTTCATTGATCTAAATGTACATAGATAATACCCAATATATATATCTACATATATTTGTATCCTAGTCTTATATAACTTGATATTATTTCGTTTTCTTGCCCCCTTTTGTATTGCGTACAACTCAAATCAATTTAAGTGCCAAATGCACGCATCTAAGAAAAATACTAATTCTACTAAATCGAAAATACTGAAATACATTCCTAAAATTTCAGAACATGTTCTGAATCTATTTGGCACATTCCTTGAATTTGGAGTGGGTTTTAGGACCAAACTGTTGAGAGTCTTATAATCATTATTATTAGTTTATAATTTATTTTGTATTGTTTTTTAACTTTTTTCTTTTACAAATTGCTTGTACATACACAACTACAAACAACTCATATATACCTATATAAATATACTATATACTATATATATATTTTTATGAAACAATACAAAGAAAATACCAACAGGAAAACTATGAAAATACTACCGAAATAATAAGTAACATATCCTAAAACACACGAAATTGAAAACATAAAAAAAAGAAAACGTTTTTCCGCCAGACAGATCATACGTACAAGGTATCTAGTAACTCTAGACAACAAAACAGCCCAACTGAATAAATAATAAATACTAACTGCAAAATACTAACAACTAAACGAAATGACAAAAATATACCAACTACAAACGAGCTCTTCGAGAAGTTTGTTCCTTCCACCATTTGGTTCTTCTGATACCACCTAAAGAAAATGTTTATAACTGTTATTATACATATGAAACTGAACAATTACGAAATATTGAATATTAATAGAGATTATCATCGATTTTCGACAGTTACAATTCATTATTTTGTATATATATATATAATATATGTATATACAAGAACTTGCTTCCGTTAAAAAACATATGCATTTTCTTAAATTACTTTAATTTACTCTTCTTTTTTTTTAACAAACAATATATTTATATAACTATATCTATATATAGATTGACAACAGTCTAAAATATTGATTGAACAATATGAAAACGGGAACATTTCTTCAATAAACTTTACAATCACTCCATGAACTACTTCATTTAATTCAAAGGAGGAAGTCACCAAATAGCAAGCAATAGATGAAATAGATTGGGTCACATCTGATTGATTGATTGATTTGGGTACTACTACTGAGCAAGCAAGAGACTTTAAGCTAAATGACAGATGTAAGGGAGCGATTGATTGATTGATCGATTGACTGATCGATTGATTGATTGATTGATTGATTGATTGATTTGGGTGCTACTGAACAAGCGATAGTTAATTATATTTGATTCATGATTGATCGTTGATTGAGCGATGATTAATTAATGATTGATTGGTGATTAGTTATTGATTGATTGATGATGACTTATTCATTGATTGATGATCAATTGATGATTGACTAATGACTGATTGAAGATTGATTGACGACTGATTGATGATAATTAATTGTTGATTGATTGATGATTGGTTGAGTGATTGATTGATTATTGATTGTAGATTAATTGCTGATTGATTAACGACTAATCAATGATTGATTGTTTATTGAACGTTAACTAAAGAGCTCAAGACGAAGCCAAGTAGCAAATGCAACAGAATAATTATTTGATACATTTGATTGATTGGTTCAATGATTGTTTCCATTTCCAAACACACACACACATACACACATAGAGACAGACACGGATACACCTATAAACGAGTATTATGTACCTAAGTTTTTATTTATTTAATAAGACTGAATTTCTGCATATGATTTAGTTGAATATATTATATACATACACACTTGCATACACACAAGCATACATACATACATACATACATATAAATATGTATTATGATTATTGTAAATATATTTATAGCATTTAAAAGCGATATACATACATACATTATACATTATACTTGCATATATATAAATATATACATACAAACATATATATATATATGTATATGTATATGTATATGTGTATATACATACATACATACAGTTTGAATTATTTTTATGTATATATACATACTTAGCCACTTTACAACTTTAGCTAATAAAGCATCAAAATTTTAAGATATATATTCTCAACTCATTAAAAAAAAAATTATAAAAAAAAACCAAAAAAAAAAAAAATTAAGAAAAGAAACAGTAAAAGTAAAAGAGAATTTACAGAAGAAGCTATTATACATATAATACATATATATATTGTATATGTATATATAGAATATATATATGTATGTATATGTATATTTATATATATTTCAATGGATCGATAACAGAATAAACCACAAAAAAAAAAAGAAAAAACTAAAGGATGTTAAATTAATATAATGAAACAAATTTTTTATTCAAATACTACTCTTAATTTGATTTATGTGTTAATAACTTATTAAATGATATTTCATGAAAATATTATAAAAAAAAAAAAAAATGGAAAAAAATAAATAAAAATTGTTAGGATATTCAAAATATTGATTGAATTGTATTTTCATTCAACTCTTATCATCTGGAATGGGAATTAGTTTTAAGGTGACCATGAAGCACATACCAAATGCTGTTCGGCTTAAGAACTAATTTCGGTCTTTTACTAATATCAGCTTAATTTTTATTATTTTTATACATATAAGTGACCTTGGAGGACATACGGATGTACTGAAAAGAGATTGTTTGGTGTTTGTTTGGAGTCTCGCTTCTATTTGAACCGGTTTCACCACCGACAAAAGTTCAGTTTGGAAACTATATTATTAAAGTGATCATGGAGGATGTGTTAGCCCATGATTAAACTTAATTAACGGAAGCAGGCATTGCTAAAGCATTATCATGTGCTGTTATCTCTGATTTGACCATGGTCTGAAAGGCAGTTAACCAGACTGCAGCAATACATATATGGCTCAAGAGAACATGGAGAACATTGAAGAACTTTTAAGAAGTATTAAATCCCATTACGATAAGAACTAGATATGATGCGAATGAATAGGTAAGTTTATGAGTTTAGTAATTCCCATGGTCATCAAGTGACCATTAAAGTCCAAGCTTTGTTGGGGACCAGATTAAAAAAAAAAAGGTGACCATGGCATTCCACATACCAAAACGCGAATGAACTCAATAAAAGTTAAGAGTAAAATTATTTCAACTGCCCTAAGCAGCAGAGCAGGAGAAGGTAAAGAGAAAAAAAACATAAATATTTTGTATAAGATCAGATAAAAAAAAAAATCATAATAACCATGAAGAACATTTCATTCAAATATTCTGAATAATAGCTAAAAAAAACTCATTCGACTGCCGACCAGATGACCCAAAAGCAAAAGGAAGAAGACATTGATATAATTTAGAAACTACGACACATATATTTTAATGCTAATTGTATTTACAAAAGCCGAGATAGTAGAGTAGAAAAACGCGAGATATAGAAAAAAAAAAAAACAAAAAAAAAAAGAGTAAGATCACGCGCAGAGATCTCACTTTAAATAGTAACTGGAGTACGGCAACCCTGGCGATGTATAGCTGTTGATGGACGGCTGATTGAGATCCAGATTGACCGAACCGAATGGCTTCAGATTGAAGCCTTGACGCTGGCTCAGTGTCTCATCGTCTGGATAGTTGACCAGAAACGCATTGGGGCTCGATTTGAAATTGTTGGGCTGCTCCAGGTAGGCAAAGGGATTCGGATTGGGATTCGAATTGGGATTCGGATTGGGACTCGGTTCTGGGTCGGAGTTGCCAGGCTGCGCCGTGTCATCAATATCTTGCTCTGCCGCTGCGGCACCATCGTTGCGCACGTCGCCATCATCAGTCGCTGCTCCGGCGCCTGTCGCTGGCTCAGCTCCCTCCTCTGCCGCAGCCGCAGCCGCAGCGCTGCCCTCGACGAAACTGGGCTTAGAGTAGATATCTGCAAAGTGTTGGAGAGAATCCAATTGTACGGCAATTAGTTAAAAGTTTGCGTATTTTACCAGCGGGTTGTGCATACTGATAGATCAACTGATCCGCCAGCTGAGCGGGCGGACGGCGCGCTGCTGGTGCTGGCTGCGGCTGTGGGCGTGGTCGTGCGCGTGGCACCAGACGAGGCAACTGCGCTCCATAGTCGTAGTCGTAGTCATAGTAAAAATTGCCCACAGGACGCGGCGCAGGACGCACGCGTCTCGGAGGCGGCGGCGGCGGTGGTGGTGCTGTTGTTGGTGGTGGTGCTGTTGTTGGTGGTGGTGCTGTTGTTGGTGGTGGTGGTGGAGCTGGTGCGGGTGCATCGCCATAGTCGTAGTCATAGTCATAGGGGCGTGGCCACCAGCCAGGCCCCGGGAAGAAAGGACGTGGTCGGCGTCGCGGCGGCGGTGGCGGCGGTGGTGGTGGTGGTGGTGGTGGTGGTGTTGTTGTCGGTGGCGCCGCCGTCGTGGTGGTTCTCATCGTGGCGGGTCGTCGAGTCGTCTTGGCATTGATTACATTGCGAGTAATGTTCGCCTTGACGCTGGACAAATCGGCGCTCTTCTGGAGCAGATTGCGCAGCAGGAGGCCAAAGTCGAGGGTGATGGTGCCGCGCTTGGTCCGGCTGTCCTCTTGGCAGCTGCTCGGACAGACGGCCAGCAGGGCGAGCAGCATTACACAATAGCTGCACTGCATCCTGGCCAACAATGCGTTCGTGTGCTCAAGTCGAGTGGAGTCAATCGCTGGCTGCGCTCGCTAAACCGCGCTGTGTGGCGTTCCAATCAGAACTGGCGAACTGCCCGCTGGCTGCCTTGAGTCGCGCCTGGGCGTTGCGGATTAAGTGGCCAAAAAGCCAACGAGTTAGACGGGTTCAACAGCCAGCCAGACAGCCTCTCAGCCAGGCCAGTCAGTCAGCCAGGCCAGCCAGCGAGCTCTCTGTCAACGGGTTCTGTGCGTGGCTACAATTACTTTTGCACTACTTTTTTGTGGCACTCGAATAATTCGTGCACAAACCTCTAGCTGCGACCCCACCAAAGCTCAGCACAGTGGGTCACACAGTGACCATTGCTAACGGTTATCGGGCAGGTAATTTGTGGGGTGTGATTGAATGATAGTTACCCTGGGTCTCTGTGCCAATCTCTCTTTCTCTCTCTCTCTCTTTCTCTATCTATCTCTCGGACTTCAACTCTATCTCTCTCTCCCTCTATTTTTTATCTGGACGTTACATCTGTCTTTTTCTGGCTTTATTGCTCTCACACACTTTCTCTTTAAGTCTCACATTCTCTGTACGTCTCACACTCTCTCTAGTTCCGGCTTTATCTCTCTCTTTCACACTCTCTTTAACTCACTCTCACTATCGCACTCTCACTCTCACTTTATCTCTCCCTATCTCCCTCTCATTTTCACTCTCACTATCTCTCCCTATCACCCTCTCTTACTCTCTCTCTCTCTCTCTGTTTCTCTCTCCATATCTTTCTCTCTCCCCATATCTCTCTCTCTCTCTCTCTCTCTCTTACTCCCTGTTTCTGTTCTGTTCCCTTTTCCGCATCTCCAGCACTTTCGCTCACTCTCTTTCTCCCCTTCTCTCTAGCTCTTTCTCTAGCTTCCCTACTTTCTGCTCTAAATTTTATCGAAACCTTTTTATACAAATTTTCCGTTGCTTCCGTCTCAATTTCAATTGCATTTCCATGCACTTGGTACCACTGTGCGCACACTGATTATAGTGATACATATGCATCAAATTTACTTGTAGCTATTATGACTTTTTTTAAAGCCAACTTGTTGCACTTAGTTTTAATTTGGATACCCTGTGAAATGCGTGCGACAAGTGCCATGATAGACCAATTAGTGTGAATATCAAGTAGATTAAGTATATACATATAATATATAAAGTATTATTGTATATACAATATATGTATGTAATATACAAAATATGTAGAAATCGACTTGGAGTTAGTATCATAGATATATACAGTATCATACATAGTTATCTGCATTTCCAGGGTATTCATGCAGTCGCATATGAACGCAATTTGCACACAGGTTATGTTTATGCATTTGCTTAGCATTTAAAGGCCTTTACTTTTTGTTAGGTACACTCGAATCGAACAGAGATATGTATATACATCTATATACCTCTATATAACATACATATGTACATTTATACAGATTATAGTGTCAGAAAGATCTTGTTTATTTCCACAGCTGAATTCGAATTTGACTTCCAAGTCGAAATTAATTTGATTGAAAGGCGCCCACTGATAATTTGCACACGTTCAGAGAGCTATACGTATATACTATAGATACATGTTATATATAATGGATATATAACTAAATCCAATTTAAATTGAATGTGCATGAGGAAAAACTTTTGGGGCAAACTGCTTGCATAAGCTGAAAATTGCATCGAAAGTCGAGCAGAAGTGGCGGAAAAATGGGGGAAAACTGAAATGAAACGAAATGAAATGAAATGGAGAGTTTATCTGGTCTGTCAGTCGTGTGTAAGGCCCGTTTGCCATAGATATTTGTTCGTTGCTTTGCTTTTGTTTTCGATTGATCAATTTAACATTTTCCTCGTGGAAATTGGAAATTCGTCAAGTGTTGCGTGCGAATCGCTAAGCGACCGACTCCAGACTCCAGCTCAGACCTGAACGCAATGCGTTCGACTAGCTCCAGGCTTACGCATGACAAATGACAAAGCGACTCCGGCAGGCAGACAGAAAATGTGCTCGACTAGGAAATATCCTAAGCTAAAGACAGATGATATATTAGCTTTGCTTTGGCAGAAGACGAATGCTACAGAAAATTTGTTTCCTTATGAAAGCAAAAGTTTAGCTAAGCTATGAAATACCCCAACTATGAGTATATGTAATATATATCTATAGCTATTCCTGAGTTAGCCTTGGCAGAAATCAGTCGAAAAACTGTGCTCAGAAAAACTAAAATGGATTAAGGCTACGAAATACCCTAACTAAAGATACCCTAACTAAACAAATTATTAAATGCCCTATGAAATACCCCATGAAATATCCGATAAAATCTCCCATGAAATACCCCATTAAATATTCTATGAAATACCCTATGAAATACCCGATAAAAACACCCATGAAATACCCTATAAAATACCCTATGAAATGCCCAATGAAATGCCTTTTAAGCACAGACGTGAATATAAAACTTTGTTCTACCTCAGCAAATTTTGCCACGCCTCTAGTAGGCGTAAAGTAAGTATTATTAAGTAAAGTATTATAGTATTAGTTGTAGATTATCTATCATATATTATGATAATATATACATACATAGATATAAAACCAACTTACTCTTATCACTTACTAAATGTCAAACCAATATGCCCCGCTGTCTGCGGTTGAAAACAGGGTATATGGGCGATAAGGCGAACAAAGCAAATTGCAATTGCAGATTGGAACTAGTTATGGCAGTTGCCTAAGATAAATATTTGCAATGAGACACATTAAAACAGTTTATTACCAAACATAAAACACTCTATATACAACGCATACCTACATATATGAATATATGTATATGTGTAGATATATAGATATATGTATATGTGTGCATATATGTATGTACATAGGCCAGCGCAATGAGAATATCATCAAGATTTGCCCCGATTTGCGTGACTTTTTGGCCTAAGCCTCGACTAGATTTTGCTGTGAGATGCTCGTGGGCGCGGCGATGACGGCCAGTGACACGGTGGGCCTCACCGGATGGGGCTTTGGCGCGGTGGGCGTGGCACGTGAACGTAGCGTACGTATAAAGTGCAGCTCCACTTGAACAAACGGCGCCTCCACGCAGAGATACATGAGCAGAGAGACGAGCAACGTAATGCCAAAGTCTGACCAAAAGTGGAGAATCTACAGAGAAAGAGAGGGAGAGAGTGGGTGAGTGAGATATGATTAGTGCCAGGCAAAAACACTCACTGCATCATAGTTGGAGAAATGCAGACTGCTCTTGATGCGGCCCGTGTTGGCCATCTCGATCAGCAGATGCCAGATGTAGAGGCAGTAGGAGAGCTTCGATATCGGCTGCCAGAACGACCAGCTGAGCAGGGTGTTGACCATGCCGCCACGGCCGCTCTGGCAGGCCCAGATGAGCCAGCAGATGGCCAGGGGCCAGGCGATGCGACTGCAGCACAAATAGAACGCGCCAGCCAGGGGCGTGATCTCAGCGGCATCTGGCCGCGTATAGGGATAGACGCTCCAGATCGCCGTCGCAATGAAGAGCAGCGCCAGCAGCCAGAGCAACAGCATCAGCCACGTGGAGAGACGGTGCCGACGGCCCTGCTCGCCGTGCAGAAAGCAGCCAAAGAGCAGCCCGATCAGCCAGGGCATGGCACGGGCATGGGTCGTATAGTAGATCATGCGCATCTCCAAGCTGTCGGCGCCCAGATTTCTGACCAGGCAAATGCGCTCAATTAATTGACATTCCGGCTCTGGAATCTGGACTCGGGCCAGCCGATTCACTTACCCCTTGCGATTGAAGACGGCGAGCTTATTCAGCATTATGATGCTGAAGACGCAGCCGAAGAGCAGCGCAATCAGCAGGACAATTCCAGCCACAGCGCGACGACGCCAACGGTAGAGGGGCCAGAGGAGCAGGGGGGAGAGCAGAAACAGCTGCATGTCCACGGCCAGATACCAGGCATGACCTAGACACTGTAGGGGCAGCCAAAGAAATTGTTAGCTTGATTGATTTATTGATTGACTGACTAATATGGATAGGTGAAAGCATAAAGTGAGAGATTTTTAAGTAAAGCCAGTTGTTATGTAAGATTATGGCTATCATTTTGATTGATTAAGTGACTTGTTGATTGACTGAGATATTATATACGTATTAGCTAAAATCCGAAAAACTTTTCATGTTAGAGTTTGTCGAAAAATCCACTAAACTAGTGTCTACTTGCCATGCGACCCGCTGCAGCATAATTCTGGACGTAGAGCAGCGTCGCCCACCAGGTCTCGTAGCACAGCTGCGAGGAGCTGGTGAACTGCTGCCAGAGCGGCCCGCTGTCCAGGCGAGGGAACAGCGTCATTAGGAAGAGCACTGCGATGGCCAGCACAGGTGTGAGGCGCACGATGCGATGCAGATACATGAGCGGCACATGGAGGCGACCCGCACGACTGCTCGAGCGAGAGTGGAAAACAGAGGGGAATATCATAAAGTCGAGGCAGAGGAATCAATCGGTCGATGTTGTCCCCAACTCACCGATCCAGCTCGCGCAGCGTGGACATCGCGAGCAGCATTCCGCTGAGTAAGAAGAACGTGTCCACGGCTATGGTGCCGCTCTGCAATATCATCGAGAATGGCGTTTGCGCCCAGGCGATAACCTCGTAGCTGTTCACATTGGGCGCCAGCAGCAGGAACATGTAGTCGTGCCCCCAGATGATCCAGATGATGGTCAGACAGCGTATGCCATGCAGGCAGGGTATCAGATGAATGCTTGGCTTCGATATCTTCATCAGCTGCCGCAGATTCTGGCGCAACGAAAAGGCAGCCAACAGTTTTTGGGATCCTAAAGAATAATATAATATGGAATAAGAAATAATATTATATATAGTTATATGGGAATATAATAATAATAATAATAATAATAATAATAATAATAATAATAATAATAATAA